CCATGGCACGGATTCAGATCTTTGAGGAAAATAAAATGAATAATGAGAAATGCTCACAAAGCTTACTTTTTGAGAGGAATACGCCCTTCTGGAGTGACTTGCAGCTTAAGTTTAGTATAGCTGTTGGAGAAGCAGAAAAACAAGGGTTTGATTTTTTTAAAAAGGCTTTTTTTCTTGAAGAATAACATACACTCAAAAAAGCCCATGCCTTTGTACACTTTGTGACATTTCCACAAACTGCCCAAGTCTCCACAGTTGGCACCCAGATTAAGAAACAGAATGTTGTCACTTTAGCGGCATTCCAGAAGCCCTTCCCAAGGGAACTGTTATCCTGACTACAAATAGCATAGATTACTTTTGCCTGTTTTTGCACCTTACATAAAGGAATCATACTCTTTTGTTTGGCTTCTTTCACTCAATAGTATGTTTCTGAGATCTAACCATATTTTGCTTATTGTTTGCTTATATATTCATTCTCAGAATGAGAACTCTAGGTCACTGTTGATGGATGCATACATTAGGAATTCTACTTCAGGAAGCTGTACACATTAAGGCCCAGCAATCCCAAAGTTAGATGTGCGCAACAAAAATATTCACAATATGTTCACCAAAAGACATGTGCATAGTAGCTATTCATAGGGAGACATCTTTCTGGAATAGACATTTGTAGTAGAGATTGATTAGCCAACTAGCAATAACGTGCTATGTTTCAGATAAAACATGTTATGTACCTCTGTGTCCCCTTTCACTAACATTGCATGGAAGAACAAATGTTCTAGAAACATTGCCTGGAAAACATATTCTAGAAGAAGGATGATAAAATCAAAGACAAGGTAAAAAGAAACAGGAAGAAAGGAAGGGAAGAGGTGGAGGCATGAAGGAAGAGTCCTTAAGGTAACAAACTCAGGAGAGGAGGCAATCCCATAAAAACCCTTAAATGAAGACCTGAGATATTGACTAAAAGCAAAAGGAATTCATAGAAGAGTTAAAAAAAAAAAAAAAAAGAATGTGGCTGAGGTATTATGTCTGGAATGATGGGTATGTCTTACATAAGAAGAGGGAAGACAACTCTGTTAAACAAAATAGAGGACCACCTATTAATGTTTCCACTTGTGGTTTTGATTTAAAGACTTCCTAACCTCCTGACCAGCCACAGCTTCCAAAATGAACACAACCAGCTTTCCTTGCTGCTCATCTTGCCTAAGTCATTATTTTCCTTGGTCAAAGAAGCTTTAGAAAGGCTGTGGCAATTCCAGAGTGATCTGGCAATTTGTTTTGCTTTTCTTTCCTTATTTTCCTTCTTCTCTTTCCTTTAGATCCTTTCTATTTTCTTACTAACACTTGCTGGGATCATCTACATGGGATGGAATCAGGACATCAGCCTATTGATTTAAGTAGTCAGGAAAGGTATTGTAGCATCTATCAGAGATCTATAACTCTAGAGAAATGAGGAACATCTGCTGTTCCTCAGATTAATAATTGAGAGGACACACGCAGATGTAGAAGCAGAGGATTATCCGATATTAATAATTTTAGTTCTGAGCACAGCTGCCAGGATTTGGAAGTGTCTCTTTGTTGTGTGTCAAAAGCACTGACATTCATGCGAGTTCAGCCCAGGTGTAACACGGATGTGCAGCTTGGAGGAAAGAGCAATCTTTCTTGGAAGTCTTCCAGTTCTGAACCAGGGAGGTATCAGTTCTCTAACAAATCCCAAAGGAAAATTTATGTTCATCAGTGTGAGAAGTCAGTGTGGCATAAACAGAAGACTCACAAAGGAGAAAGGAAACTGACTCAGAAGAAGCAATGCCCTTAGCAATAAAATTAGAGTGACTTACGCTTTTTCCAGAAATGCATCCCTGGACATGTTTTGGGCCAGCAGGTTTGTTGCCAAACTGAAAACCTCATTTGTCCATTCCTGAAAAATGTAAATCACACTTGCATTAGCTTAAATACTGCACAGTCATTAGACACATGCTTTTAGCTTGGCTTCCAGGAAGACACATTAGTTCAATGTGTATGCCAAAGGTTTTTTGTTTTGTTTTGTTTTATTATCCCTTTTTTGGGTAAAAATGACATAAGTAAATTCAAGTCCCTGAGGGACTACTCTTTTCCTAAGGAGATGTTCTTTGTACACAAAGATTTTTTCTGCTTTTTAAAATTTGTATAAATAGAAAATTGCTATGTTTCCCTTCAATAACTAAACACTTTTTACTATTTCCTTGAATTACAAACAGATAAAGAGTCATTAAATAGTTTAACATTCTGGATATTAGCCCTTTGTCAGATGAGTAGATTGCAAAAATTTTCTCCCATTCTGTAGGTTGCCTGTTCACTCTGATGGTAGTTTCTTTTGCTGTGCAGAAGCTCTTTAGTTTAATTAGATCCCATTTGTCAATTTTGGCTTTTGCTGCCGTTGCTTTTGGTGTTTTAGACATGAAGTCTTTGCCCATGCCTATGTCCTGAATGGTACTACCTAGGTTTTCCTCTAGGATTTTTATGGTATTAGGTCTAACATTTAAGTCTCTAATCCATCTTGAATTAATTTTCATATAAGGAGTAAGGAAAGGATCCAGTTTCAGCTTTCTATTTATGGCTAGCCAATTTTCCCAGCACCATTTATTAAATAGGGAATCCTTTCCCCATTTCTTGTTTCTCTCAGGTTTGTCAAAGATCAGATGGCTGTAGATGTGTGGTATTATTTCTGAGGACTCTGTTCTGTTCCATTGGTCTATATCTCTGTTTTGGTACCAGTACCATGCTGTTTTGGTTACTGTAGCCTTGTAGTATAGTTTGAAGTCAGGTAGCGTGATGCCTCCAGCTTTGTTCTTTTGACTTAGGATTGTCTTGGAGATGCGGGCTCTTTTTTGGTTCCATATGAACTTTAAAGCAGTTTTTTCCAATTCTGTGAAGAAACTCATTGGTAGCTTGATGGGGATGGCATTGAATCTATAAATTACCTTGGGCAGTATGGCCATTTTCACTATATTGATTCTTCCTATCCATGAGCATGCTATGTTCTTCCATTTGTTTGTGTCCTCTTTTATTTCACTGAGCAGTGGTTTGTAGTTCTCCTTGAAGAGGTCCTTTACATCCCTTGTAAGTTGGATTCCTAGGTATTTTATTCTCTTTGAAGCAATTGTGAATGGAGTTCATTCATGATTTGGCTCTCTGTTTGTCTGTTACTGGTGTATAAGAATGCTTGTGATTTTTGCACATTGATTTTGTATCCTGAGACTTTGCTGAAGTTGCTTATCAGCTTAAGGAGATTTTGGGCTGAGACAATGGGGTTTTCTAAATATACAATCATGTCATCTGCAAACAGGGACAATTTGACTTCTTCTTTTCCTAACTGAATACCCTTGATTTCTTTCTCTTGCCTAATTGCCCTAGCCAGAACTTCCAACACTATGTTGAATAGGAGTGGTGAGAGAGGGCATCCCTGTCTTGTGCCAGTTTTCAAAGGGAATTTTTCCAGTTTTTGCCCATTCAGTATGATATTGGCTGTGGGTCTGTCATAAATAGCTCTTATTATTTTGAGGTACGTTCCATCAATACCGAATTTATTGAGCATTTTTAGCATGAAGGGCTGTTGAATTTTCCAGAACCTACAAAGAACTCAAACAAATTTACAAGAAAAAAACAAACAACCCCATCAAAAAGTGGGCAAAGGATATGAACAGACATTTCTCAAAAGAAGACATTCATACAGCCAACAGACACATGAAAAAATGCTCATCATCACTGGCCATCAGAGAAATGCAAATCAAAACCACAATGAGATACCATCTCACACCAGTTACAATGGCGATCATTAAAAAGTCAGGAAACAACAGGTGCTGGAGAGGATGTGGAGAAATAGGAACGCTTTTACACTGTTGGTGGGATTGTAAACTAGTTCAACCATTATGGAAAACAGTATGGCGATTCCTCAAGGATCTAGAACTAGATGTACCATATGACCCAGCCATCCCATTACTGGGTATATACCCAAAGGATTATAAATTATGCTGCTATAAAGACACATGCACACGTATGTTTATTGCAGCATTGTTCACAATAGCAAAGACTTGGAATCAACCCAAATGTCCATCAGTGACAGATTGGATTAAGAAAATGTGGCACATATACACCATGGAATACTATGCAGCCATCAAAAAGGATGAGTTTGTGTCCTTTGTAGGGACATGGATGCAGCTGGAAACCATCATTCTTAGCAAACTATCACAAGAACAGAAAACCAAACACCGCATGTTCTCACTCATAGGTGGGAACTGAACAATGAGATCACTTGGACTCAGGAAGGGGAACATCACACACCGGGGCCTATCATGGGGAGGGGGGCGGGGGGAGGGATTGCATTGGGAGTTATACCTGATGTAAATGACGAGTTGATGGGTGCAGCACAGCAACATGGCACAAGTATACATATGTAGCAAACCTGCATGTTATGCACATGTACCCTACAACTTAAAGTATAATAATAATAAATAAATTAAAAAAAAAAAGTTTAACATATGACCAAATATGTTTCCAACAGAACATGCAAACATAATCTTCCTGCTCTACTATTCATGCCAAAGCAGCTATACCTGATATCTTTAACTGTTAACTACAGTTCTAGAAATTCTCTATAACAGTCAATCACAATGCCACACAATATGCAGTATTCTCCCTTCTCCCAACACTGTCAATGTCTCACTACTCTCCTAATCTTAATCCCTACCTCATATCACAAAGCAATGATCTCACTAGGCTTCCAAGATAATGGAAAAGAGCAAGTCTACAAACAAATATAGAAGTTCCATTCTGGGTGATTATTTGGAACACACAACACATTCTGGGCCCAAACACCTAGAAAATTCTCCAAGAGAAGATGACACAAGAGCTAGGTCATCATCTGATATTGTTGTAGTTAACTCGGCTCCCTCTTCAATGAAATAATGTCTTTTAGTTTGATTGCTTTGACACCTGTTTTTTTGTTATTTCTACTTTTGTTTGATTTGTCTTTTGTTTTTTGCTTGCTGACTTAAGGCACTGATAATATGCTGTCACATAATACAGTAACATTCGAGATGGAACTGGAGGAGCAGGGAACATAGAGTGATCGGGAAGAAAAGAGGGAATCCTGAGCAGAGAAAACTGGGAAAAGAACCAGAGGTGAGCTAACATGGCAGGAGTTAGAGCAAACAAAAAGTAGTCTAATAGGAATTAGAAAAGAGAGAGGGGGTAGCAACAACAAAGTAGAGTTGTGGTCAGAGGATAAAGAGCATTTAAGTGTTTGGAGATAAATTGGTAAAAAAATGTGATACCGGGGCTAGGCTGCATATCAGACAGATTATCTGGCAGCCAGGTCAAGGATGGATTTGAGGCTGAGAATCCAAAGAAAAGTAACTCAGGTAGGAAGCTGTAACAGTCCAGTAGTCCAGGTGAGAAATACTGAGACTTTGAACTCTGTGTGTTGGCAGAGGACTTAAAAAGACAGTACAGAATAGCTGCAAGACAGAAGCAAAATTATTGCTCGCCAAGCTTTATGCAGACACAGAAGAGCATTTCACAATAACTATCTAACAAATTAAAAATCAATTTTCCTGAAAATAGATAATTTTAAACTAAGAATAATAACTACTGGTTTCAAAAATGTGTTTCTGGTGTAATATTTTGTAGGCTCATGGCCAAGCTTTAGACACTTCTAGCTCCCTGCCAACTTTCTGCATGGGTAAAAGTATCTATAATTGAGAGCAACATATAGTTTTGTATGTTTACCAGGGGCTAGTTTCACACCAGAAATAGGTACAGCATTAGAAAGAGTTGGGGAGATTTAACTACATAGAGTAGTTTCATTGCCCTAAAAATTATCTGTGTTTCACTGTTTATCTTGTCCTCTATTGAATTAATATTTAAAAGTTCCTGGGATATATAATAATTTAAAACAAGATATTTTAATATTGGTGAGACATGTAAAGGTCCTAACTATGTTTTAGTGTTTTATGTTTATTTTTTATTTATTGGCAAACTCCTATTGCTGTCATTGATAATGGTGTCATTCTGATTACCTCTACTCATAAGGGGGTGGTGGTGTGTGACGTGCGTAAGGAGGAACATTGTGTGACTCAGCCAGCGTTGCCTCACCTGGCTGAATACATTTCTGTCACTACTGGCATGCATTAGAATTCATCCTGCTGAGCATTTGTCTTAGTGACGCAGTGAAGAATCTTTTCATGGTGAAAGATGGCACATGAGCTGGAAAGCCTTTTGTTAAAATCAGAAAGGACTATCTGATAACTCACTGCACTTATCATACTATACTGAACATCTAGAATTTTGGAAAAAATTCTGCTACAGTTTTTCTGTGTCAGGTAGCAGTGAAGATCTTATATCGTGGTCAAAGCGTTCTTGTTTTTATCTTATACTCAAAAAGAAATGATTGCCAATCATACATAATTATGAAAATACCCCAAATAAACCAAAAGCTAGGAAACATATTAGGACTCAATATTGTCATGATTAGGACAACTAGCATAATAACATTGCTCAAATCAAGGAAAGGTGCATAATTATTTTCAGATAATGTTATTCAAATATCTTTAGGCTACAGTTGACAAAAGCACTACTCTAACTTAAGAAATAGGAGAAAGTATTAAGGGCACTGTGTCGTTTCCTGTAATTGAAGGAAAAACTAGATAAACTGCAGTCAAAGAATGCATTTATAATACACGATCATCAGGAATTTGGAGATTGAATGCACACGGGCTTTCTTCATTGCCATTACGCTGCTCTCTTCCTGAGGGCATTTTTCTGTTCCCTACTGACGGGTTCTTCCCCTGGGCCACCAACTTCACCAAGAGTTGTCACATATGATGTCTTTCACCACCAGAGAAGGTCTGGCTAATTCCTTCATTTTCAATAACAAGAATGCTGGGAAAGGTCTGTTTGGTCTACCTCTTGAACAATCAATCAGGTAAGAACCTAGCATTGTCCATGACAACAGAGTAATTGGATCTGGGAAAGAAGCAGTGACCAGAAGAGGGGAGAGTATAGCAAACATGGCATACGCCCATTACGTAGGAGCCCTGTGGGAAAGCAGACAGAAGGAAAGGGTGTGTGTTGTTTCATAACTTACGTGGGATCTCATAGTTCTGCCTCGCATTCTTTTTATAAAATTGGTAATAGATTCATAATCACTGAGTTGACTGCATAAATGAATGTGTAAATGAAAGCAACTGACTTCCATGCTTTATAATTTATGTCTTTTAAAATTAGTTTTTATATCTCCTCTATTGTTATAAGTTTCAATAACCATTTTTGGCTAGAGGGCTTGTGATACTGGCTTTATGCATTTCTGTTGTAACATGAACTATATTGGAATAGTTGGCAAACATTAGGAGTCCTAGATATAACATGGGACTAGCAAGTTCTCTGATTAATAAAGTACAGAAGCTTTTGTGTAAGGGTTTGGGCATCTATGTTGGCTAGGTAGACATACTTATGCTTTGGTTGATGTTTTGGGCTGTATTCTGAAGAACTGTTGCTCAAGCATCTTTTTTTCAGATAAGTGAAGCACTGTTGTGCTAAATGGTATCCTGATCGTCTAAGGAAGAGTCCAGGCTGTCAGTTCTAGCATGTCCTAGTCCTCTTGACATTCCTCTGCCAAATGGGAAAAGTTTAACGTGGCGAAATAAAATGAAAATGAACTTAAAGCGAATTCTTCAACAGGAAAAATTAAAACTCCCCCAAAGAGCAACGTCCATGGCACAGAGTAGAAGAACGGAGAGATATTTGTTTCTGTTGAAGTTTTTCACAATGAGACGATTACAGTTGTATCACTGGGAGTCTCAGGTGTATTCTTAGCATCCACTGGGGAGACCTCCTCCCTTCCCTCCTGCTAGTTTCCTGAGTCATTGTTCATTTGTACAACTGAGAAAATGCTAATTGTGTGCTCATATACGGAACCCCCAAAGTTTCATTTCTGTGGATTTCATGTCAATCCACCACATTCCTGAAAAGATTCTTCCAACAGTCTCATGTCACGCTTATGAAAACACTTGCTATTATGCCTTTGAATCCTAGCAGCCTCAGTGTTAATTATTACCTTGGTTGTATCTGCCTCAGTGCTGTGTACCATAGACAATAAATGTAAGTAGGGTCTTTAATAATAATTGATATTGTTGTTCACTACAGAAATAATTCCATTTGAAAAGATCACATAAAAAAGGATTTTTTAAAAAAAAAAAAAACACTGCTAATTTCCTTAGTAAGATGTATGTGAAACAGAAAAAGGGGAGCAATCGCAATTTCTTGGCCATTAAGCATGCTGCTTATCTGCTTATTACGAAATCAGTTTGACAAAATTAAAACTGCATTACTTGAAAACTGATTAGTGAACTAGGCACAGGTAGTTCCTCATTAACTTATAATTTAATGACAGAATTCTGCTGAAATATAATTTTCTCATTTGGAAATAAATTTGTTTTAAATTACCTTAATCATACCTTACAACTTTATTTTAAACCTTGTTGCAAGCTAGATTCTTCTCTTCAAATGAAGAGGGTATTTGACCTTTGGTAACTCAATCCTGTTAGTTCTTCCTCTTCTATGAGAATGATTCTTTGCCTTTGGCCTTGATTGTTCCATCTTTGATCATTCTCGCTGCCTGTGAAGGCCATGGAATAGTGACTCTTAAACACAGTTTTTTTTTTCTTGTCTTCTAATTTAAAAGTAAAATATTGATATCAGTTTATTTAATGGCTCTTCCTGACTTTCATATTGCAGATCCTTTTTCTAGCTTATTATGAATATAACTTACTGGATTTCAGAACACCATTCTACTATTTTCTAGCTGGGACCTTCTGCTAAATGCTATCTAATATATATTTTATCCGTCTTGCCTAACAGAGACCCAACAGTACTCACGCCAACAATATGTCCAACTGAAAAAATATATCCATTTTCTAATGTCCTTAGCAGCTGGATGACCACCATGTGCCACATGGCAAATCACACGTAAGCAGGTGCCTGCTGGAGGGTTCTGGGAAAATGTGTTTCCTGATATAGGTGCTCTTTTTCTTTTACTGTAGGGAACGTAAATGGAATAGAGCCACAGAGTCATCTCGATCTATGAGAAAAAGGCCACGAGAATCAAAGGGCCCTCACTCAGCCTTGTTATCCCTGAGCTCCTGAATCAGTGCCAGAGACCACCTGTGGAGTCCTAATAAGATAAGTAAGCAACATTGAGGAAAGCGCCCTAGGTTGGGGAGAACAATCTGAGATGGCTAATCACAGACAAGCCACTGGCACAACATTCTGTTCCCAAATATCTCCTTCAGCACGTACTCCCAGTAACTCCAGCAGCATGACCTCATTCTGCACATAGCCCCTCCATCATGACCCTATGAAACTTCCCTTCAATCCCTGCCTCTTTGCAGACAGCTCCTTCTCTGCTGTGCTGTCCATTGCACCTTTGCAACATATCTTCATACTTTCTCTAATAAATCTGCCTTTCTTTACCTATTACTGTCTTGGTAAATTCTCTTACCACCCACAATGCCCACCCCAGCCAGTGGCACCCATGACAGGCTTCCGGCTACATGAGAAAAAAAAGAAAAGAAAAGCAAAACCAAACAAAACACAAAATAAAAATCCTTAATTTGTCTCAGCTATTGTTTGGTTTGGTTTTCTGTTAGTCCAGGCCAAATGCAAGTCCTGAGTGACAGAATCATGTTGGACAAGTCTTTTAAAATTTGTCCTCCAATATTCATATGTCTTATAAAATGGAGGTAATAATAGAACTTATTTCATAGGACTTTTGGGAGAATTGGAGTAATTCATGTTAGACCAGTGACAGGTGTAACATATGCTTGTTAAATGATAGTAACCTAAAAAACTATTATTTATCAATGAAACAGAGACAGAGTTTCTTAAAAGTTGTTCAGAGGGGTTGGAAAGGCAATGATCACTTCTATGTCCTAGTTCTGTTTCTTAACAACTATTTTCAGCATTTCTGTTCTTAAATTTCTGGGGTTTACTTACATATTTCTATTTATATATATGTGTGTGTGATGCTTTTTTCATGTGTGTGTGTGTGTGTGTGCACGCGTGTAATGCTTTTTCTTGACTGATTTTAGAATTCGACTATAATATCCTGCTCTGATTGAGGAGGCTTTAAATCTTTGACTCCATCTCTCACCTGCCCTTTCTCCTTGCTTGTGTTAGAGTTCTATCACTCATGCCCGTTCCTCCCTGTCACCTCTAAACACTCAAGCAACATACTCAAACTCTCTTGATCCATTCATTAAAAATAGTATCCCTTGGCTCCTCTGTGACAGGAGGACACTTACCTGCCATTCCTTTTACTTCCAACTCTTGTTAGCTTAAACTCACTTTTAAATTGTCAGTTTTTATCTTTGTTCAGCATTCATAATTACGACTTTATTTGCATATAAATTGATTCTGAAAGTTTAAAACAAGTCCAATAAAAATTTACATGAGTATGAAATTGCAACTATAGTTTTCTGCTGGGCCATATATTAGAATATATCAGATTATTTGTTTTAGTTCTAACACCGTAACCCACATGGCTCTCCAAAGGGACATTCCTAATAACAAGTATATATGGATCTTTTTAAGTTCTTTCTTCAGTTGTTGAAACTCTTACATGTTTTAGCATGGTTGATATTTGGATAATACATTTCTGGTACATTTATCCCCACCCCTCTACCTTAACTTTCTTTTGGAGAGAAAAAAATTAAGTCTTTTTCATTTATCTGTCATCTTCTAGTTTCCTACTGATTACCTGAACCTACTCCATTCCTATACTTGCTATTTAGACTTTAAGACCAGTACTTTTGTTTAGCTCTCAGATGTTTTCTTGTAATATCTTCCTTAATTTCCCTCTTCTGGTTTCTCCTTTTCATTGGCTGATTATGCCTGTAAATACTTGTTGAATGAATGAAAATTATAATACAGTCGTTAGGAAAATTATTAGCATGGTATTTTCAAAAAGTGTTTTTAATTCATAGTGCCAGCTTATTCATTGGGCATTATTTGGCTTAACTACTAAAGATGGCAACCAATATCAAGGTGAAAGGTGAAACAGATCAACCTGCCTCTCTCAAAGTATGTCAATATTCCCCTGCCATCCCCAATATTTTATATGTGGAGGTAGAAATTTAATCAAGGAAGCCAGATTTTCTTAGAACTCTTCTTCCTTCCAAAAAGTTATGGTGATTTTTTTTTTTGTGGTACCCGTGTTCCTGCTTCCACGCTAGGCGCACAGGTAATGCAATCAGGGCTTACTTAGCTGCCAGGCATCAGAAGCCAGGCAGACAGAGGTACGCGGAAGAGTAGCTTGTCTCTGTGCAATGGAGTGGATGGAAGGAAAGAAGAGATACTATTGCTGAGGCAGATTTCTGTTTTCTTTTTCTGGGGAGAGGTGGGTTTGTACTAACAGTAGCACACAGTCTGAAATCACAATCATTTCTATGACTCAGGGTTGACATTTTCCCTTCAGTTTGACGTTAATTGCTTTTATGTGGGCACCACTGAACACTGTCTGGATCCAAAAAAGCTCTTGCTTAGCAAATGCAGAAAAGACACCCAGGAGACAGAAGGCAGGGGTGCTTTCTTCCACAATCACCAGAATAGCAATTGCTGCTGCTTCTGTGAGTGTAAGGGAGAGACTGAAATCCAGTTGCCTTTTTTTTTTTTTTAAATAAAAATCTTTTCAATATGAATGTCTTTCTTTTGACTTATGAGCTTTTAAACAAACGTTCCAGATAGACGATGTTTTCACAATACAAAAGTTTAAGTTGTTCATCCTTCATTTGCCTGACACATATCCAAAAAGTGTAGAATGTAGAGTAAATCTCATTCTCCAGCAAAGGACACCTACCACTATAAAATTCCAAGACTAATAGTGCAATGAACTGACATAGTAAGAACTTTGTCCTTTTTATGATTGGGTGGAGGAATAGCCTAAGACGACACAGGCATTTTTTTTTAAATATAATAAGGTCAGGAATAGCAGGTAATGATGATCTCACAAAACACAATAACTTGTGGATCTAACTTTTCATGTTTGTAAACAGTGATCTTTTTGGCACATGTATTCTACCTGCAAGGAAGTCATGCACAGTTTTCCATTATGTCCCAAAACAAATTGCTGAACACAATTTATGGCATCATCTTTTCTTTTCTTAACGATTTTTCATCATTTAAAGTCAAACTTACAGCTACTGCTGCTTACGCATCATAAATTGGTTTGAAATTCAAAATAGAAACGAGATAAAGTGTACATTTTGTACAGAATATACGCAAGTGTTTGAAAACTCTTACCTCAATGCATATGCTCCCAGAATAAAAAAAAATATAAGAATCTCACGTCTCTTGAGGTCACTTTTAAATAGCTAATACTATTATTTTAGAGCAATTCTAAGAAAATTCCTGAAGTTTTTGATGAATGGCCTGGAGGTGGCCTTAGCAGACCCCTTCACTTGCCCCTCTTTCTTTTCTATTTCCCAACTTCATTTCATAGACTATAATGTCTTTTGCTTAAAAGAAATTCCCCTCTCTGTGACATCTTCTCTCATTTCCTTGGCCTGAAAGGTGTCAACTATTTGGTAAATAGAAGTTATTTTCATTTGCTTAAGAAAGTGTGGAGCAACTTCTGGGTAAGGAAGTGACAGTCACAGTAACTCTGAGTGGGAATAAGGTTAGCTTTGGGAAAAAAAAGATTAGGAAAATGGAAGCCATCATAATGAATGGCACCTGGGTCCTCCTACTGAGAATCCTGACAAGCTGGAGAGAGAATTATTCTGGGAAAAGCCTGGAGCAACCAATTTGCTAGGGGGCCTTAATTTCTCCCAACTCTAAATGAAAAGATTGGAGCACATGATGTTAAAAGCCATTATGACTCTTAGATTTTACGTGACCTATCACTTATTTTCAAGAATTCAAAAGCCTCTCCTTTTCCTTTTCCTTTCCCTTCTCCTTCCCCTTTCCTTCCTTTCCTTTCCCATCCTTTCCTTTCTCACACCTCCCACATTTATTGAGCCAAGCACTAAGCTAGATCCTGGGAATACAAAACAGACTAAACTATTGTTTTTGACTTTCATCAGCTCACAAATACAGGATAGGTTATCAGACACACTGATTGATAATTACAGTATAATAACTAATTGAAAATATGTTCAAGGTTCACAGAACAACAGACGAAAGAACAGTGGGCTATTCATGGAAGTCATAAGATGGAGCGAGAGATGGATGAACTGAGTTGATACTGAGTGCCTCGGGAGTCCTAGGACTTTTCTTGGTGGACAAAAGAGAGAAAGGCAGTGTAGGAAATGACCATATTATAAAGGCATTACTATTAAAATTGTAAAGGCAGAAGAATCACAAATAGTTAGGAACTGCTGGAGCAGAACAGTGTAACAGTCAAAGCGGTGAACCATCAGTACCTGAGGGTAGGGGCTATGTTTAGTCACTGATAAACCCTCGGTGCCCAGTGAGATGCTTGGCACATACTAGGCCCTCAATAAATATTTGTTCACTAAATGCACAGAAACTTCATTTTGCAGGCAACAGAGAATGAAAATGATTTAAAATATGATCAGGAATGAGTTTATTTTTTAAAAAGGCCATTCTTATGCAGCTGAGCAGGTAGATTTGTAGAGCAAAGTGTGAGAGAATTTCAGGAAATAGGTAGGTAATGATTGTACATTAGACCTGACAAGGGCTTAACAAGACGGCAGGAAGAAGGGGGAGCAGGAAAGAGATGTGAGAGCTAGTTAGGAAATTCAGAGAGCAGGTGTGTTATTTAGATTGTGCACAAGAAACTGATACAGATGAAGTTAATGAAAACTTCCAGAAAATCATACTCATACCCTTGAGATAAGTGAATTAAACTCTCCAAGAAACTCACAACTACAGAGGGGGAAGAATCTAAAATTACAAACACTAAAGACTAATGTTCAGATTATAGAACATATTTTCAGAGAGCGCATTTCTTCTGTGACAGCTACTTCAAAATGTAATAATTTAATGTACAGAGATCCTCTGCTAAATTTTTCTTCTATGTGTGAAATAATATTTAAAAATCAAAATGGCTCAACAAGTTTGAGAAAATGACAGTATCTATCAAAGCAGCACACATAAAGATCTATGACCAGTCATTACACTCCAATATCCAGCTCTCAGAAAGGCAGATGTTTGTAGCATCGTTATTTATAGCAGTCCTAAACTCACAACTACCTGAATGTCTACCAACTGTAAGTAAATTACTGACTACTACTTAGCAAAGAGAATGGACAAACTACAATCACACAGAAAATATAGAAGAATCTCTTAAATCTCATAATATAATGTTGAATAATAGAAGTCAGACCAAAAAGATTTTATTGTATTATTTCATTTACAGATATTTTAAAAACAGGTAAGACTAATCTATAATGTTAACTGCCAATATAGAGGTAAGTAGGTAGGGTGGATATCTAGGGTGCTGGTTATGCTCTGTTTCTTGATCTGGATGTTGATTAGGTGGATATATTCCTTTTCCAAAACTCCATCAGGGTATAGAGTAAGAAACTGTGCACTTTTCTGTGTATGCTACATTTCAATAAAACATTAAATAATCTGGCTCAGTTCCCATGAGCGTGGTGTTAACTGGCTGCCTCCTCTCAGCTTCTGTTTTTCTGATTCTTTCCTTTTATGTTACAGTGTCAATGATTCAGCCCTTGGATGTCTCCTCTATCTACAGTCACTTCCTGGCTGATCTCATCCAGCTTCATTAAAAAGTATGATGACTTTTTAATACAATCAAACACCCAATGACCCCCAAATTTACGTGAACTGAACATGACCAAAACTGAACTTCTGCTATATATTCCTAAACAAAAAATTATACTCTATTTTATATTTTCCCTATGTCAGTAAATGATATTTCTATCTTTGCCTCTTGGGCCAAAACTTTAACATCATCTTTGATTCCATGCATCTTTCTTTCACATGCAACATAAAATTCATAAACATATGCTGTCACTTCCTCCTTTATAATATACGTGTGTGTGCGCGTGCGCATGTGTATGTGTATACATACATGCAAATTTCGATTCCTTTTTATTTCCTCCACATTCCACATTGGTCTAAGTCACTAGCAACTCACCTAAATATTTCAGTTGTTTGGTAATGAATCTGCTTGCTTCCGTTATTTCCCCTCTGCCACGCAGTTCATTATTGATTAAATGTTAAGTCAAATCACATCTATACTCAGCTGAAACCCTCTCATGGCTTCCATCTCACTCACAGTAAAAGCCAAAGTCCTTCCAAAGCCTATGCCACCCTACAGCAAAATCAATTGCAATTGCCTCCTCAGTTCCCTCTGCTATTCCTTCCCTCAATCTTGCTTACCTAGCTGCTGTCACACTTGGCCTTTGCTGTTCCTAAAGTACACCAGACTATCTTTTGCCTCAGGGCTGTAGTGCAAGTGCAGTGTTGTCTCTCCAGACATCCTCCTGACTTGCTCCCTCACCTCCTTCCAGTCTTTGCTTAAGTTTCACCTCCCAGAGATGGCTGCACTGACCACCCTATTTAATGCCCTCTTCCACTGCACTGTCCATCTCTACCTCATTTTTGTCAATATCACTATCTCTTCCTAATACACTGCGTGACTGACTTCTTTATTTTACTCATTGTGTCTCCCACCTAGAATGTATGCTCCACTTCGGCAAGGGTCTTTATCTGTTTTCTTCACTGCTTTACCCCCGGCATCTAGAATAGAACTTGGTACATTGCAGAAGGCTTAACAAAATGTTGTTGAATAAATGAGTGAATGAATCCAAGTTCTTCATTTTATAGATGAAGAATGTACCCAAACTGTCAAAGGACTTGAAGGCTCATATCCATTTGGCAGAAGATTAATGCTAACATTTCTGATTTATAGACATCTTCTCTAGGGCTCTCTCCCCTTTACTGTGTTCCTTCCTAGGGCCAGAATTTCAGAACTCGTGGATATGAGTTCTGTCCCATTTAGTTCCTTCTCAAGAAGAGCCAAAATTATGGCCTTTAAGGGCAACATATTTTATTTGCAACAAAGTCTTACTTTTTTCAGCAAGAAAAAAAAACCCCATATTTGTCTCCTCCAGCAGTAAATTCTCATTTGCTTGGTTTGCATTTGTTGAATTAATGGGTTGAGTGTTGTAAGGTAAACTTGTAGAACATTGTGTAACGATTGTATTCTTCTTGACTTTTAAATTTGGCCCAAAGGCATGATTTGTCTCCCTTATTCTTTAATTTTCAAGTTACGTGTTTAAAAATGGAATCTGGAGACATCCAAAAGATTTTCTTTTATATTATTCTGTACCTCTTTCCTTTATAAGGGATGAGAGATGCTGTGGTTAAGAATAGGATACAATCTAAGTCACAAAAAAAGTAACCTATTATAAAACTTCTGAAAAATGTCCACAATGACCATTAAGGGGGCAGAGGGTTCTCTGTCTATTGAAAAATGTTGTCTTAAAAGGTCACATTTCTTAAGCACCCAGAGGGCTCTAGGAATGGTTTGGAAGTTAGAGAATGAACAAATGTGGTGGAGAGTGCTGATTCTGCTCTGCAAGATAATGTTACGTGCTTTCCCCATTGTATTCAGTGGTCAGGACCTGAGGTTTTATTTAGCACAATAATTTTCTTAATGTGAATCTAGAACAAAAGCTGCCTATGGAAGCCCCCAAGTCTTACTCAGACCATACTTGTGTTTTTTTGGTTCGCATAGTGTTTTTAAACAACTGTTGCCAATATTTAACATCTTTCATGGATTCTGCAACTCCTTTTAGAAGAAAATTCAAGATCTGGCAATACTGTGCCCAAGCTTCTTTAAGGAAGAGATTGTCAAAGTGTGGTGCCTGGACCAGCAGCATTAGCATCACCTGGGGACCAGTTAGAAATGCAGATGCTCAGGCTCCATCCCAGACCTGCTGGGGCTGGGGCCCAACAATGTGTGTTTTAACAGGCTCCCTAGGTGACTGTGATACCTGATGCTCCAAGGTAACAGTAGTACTTGCAAATCTTAAGTTTCTGGCTGAGCAGTTTCAGTGGGGCAGGGGGAAATACTCTACAGAACATCACAGCCAGGGAAGGCAAAGTATTCTCCATAGCTTCATTAATTATACCGGGAACATCAAGTAGCCCCTGGGAAAATCTCTGCAGATACACTCCTGATGGGGAATATTACAAGGATTGGAGATAAAAATCCCTAAGGAAAATTAGTGGGTAGGAACCCACAGAGAGGAGGAAATTAACTATATTTTAGATAGGACTGCACAAAGGCTTAATGCAACTTAAGATATGCAGATTGATGTGTAATATAAATATATTCACTCTTAGCAAAAGCTTCCCTGAAAGCCACTGCCATTTATTGCATGCTTTTAAATGAGATTTAGTGCATCCCATAAATTGGTCACTTTTTAAAAAAGGAATATAGTTCATTTGGGGAAAGATATTTTAAAAATATTTTGCAAACATTTAGAATCTGTTTTTTTCTGTACTCATTTATCCATCTATTCATATGCAGGGAAATAAAGTATATGTCACATAGACAATGTTCATTGAACTGAAATCTCTCCAAGTATAAATGATACTATAGAAATAAATGAGTAACTTGGCTCTTAAAGAGAGAAAGTTGATTCTGTTTATAAAATACTTGGAAAGCATAGTTTCTAAAAACCTTAGAATATTAAAACTAGTTGGCATTTTGTGCATCCCATTATAAGAATTAAAGTCAATATTACATAAGTGTTAGAAATAAACCCCTGCCAATAATCACTAATGACATAGAAACCAGGCCAATTGAAACCATCCTGGTTCAATATGGTGAAACTCCATCTCTACTAAAACTACAGAAATTAGCTGGGCATGGTGGCATGTGCGTGTAGGCTTGAACCCGGGAGGTGGAGGTTGAAGTGAGCCAAGATCACGCCACTACCTGCACTTCAACCTGGCAACAGAGTGAGACTCTGTCAAAAAAAGAGAAAGAAAGAGAGAGAGAGGGGGAAAGAGAGAGAAAGAGAAAGAAAGGAAGAAAGGAAGAAAGGAAGGAAGGAAGGAAGGAAGGAAGGAAGGAAGGAAGGAAGGAAGGAAGGAAGAAAGAAAGAAAGAAAGAAAGAAAGAAAGAAAGAAAGAAAGAAAGAAAGAAAGAAAGAAAGAAAGAAAGAGAAAGAGAAAGAAAGAAAGAAAGAAAAGAAAGCAAGAAAGCAAGCCAGCATATCTGGTGTAGCTCAGAAAATCATCAGAGCACTGAGGGTTAAAAAACTGTAGATCACAATATTCAGACAATACCCACAGACATGAAGTGACCCTGTAGCTGTGAGGCATGACATGACAAGCTCTGTAAGGCATATATATTATACACAGGCTCAAAGTATTCTTAGATTCATATTCTCAACTCTTGAAGGAAGTTATATGAAGGAGAAGGACTATCACTAGTATTTTATAAACTATAAAAATGGAAAAAGAAAGTTCTTTTTAAAATATGCTCATTTCAGTATTCTTTCAATGACAATTGGACATTTCTAGAGAAAGCATTGCACTTGAATCCAGGGGTCCCAGATGTTCACAGCTTCTTGTTTGCTGTATTACACCTGCTTTCTAGCTATTTTTGTAAGTATCTGAAAGGCTCGCTCCTAGTGGAATAGCAGCACCTCAATGGGTAGGCTATATCTAATTTATCTTTCTAGTCCACAATTGAATAAATATTATTTGTTCTTATTTAAGTATTATTTTCATTATTATTTAAAGTTTTTGTTTTGAAGTGTTATTTTTTCATTCTTCTACATGTTAACTGAGTAACTACTACATGGATTATGGTGGACTAGGTGCTGCCCAGGGATTAAGAAGTTTAAAAAGGGCTGAAGATGTCTGTTCCCTAGGAGAGAGCTGGAAATGAGATGGACTTAGAAGCAGCATAGGGATGAGGCTAAGAGAGAATGACTTGGGAGAAAGTGTTTAGATGAAATAGAATGTGGTTTTATTTGTATTTTGTTATGCAAAGAAACTGCATCAAATACCTTAAACTTTTTTTTTTTTTTTTTTTTTGGAGATGGAGCCACACTCTGTCACCCAGACTGGAGTGCAGTGGTGCAACCTTGACTCACTGTAGCCTCCACCTCCTGGGTTCAAACAATTCTCCTGCCTTAGCCTCCCAAGTAGCTGGGATTACAGGTGCTTGCCACCACGCCTGGCTAATTTTGTATTTTTAGTAGAGACAGGGGTTTCACCATGTTGGCCAGGCTCATCTCGAACTCCTGACCTCAAGCGATCTGTCCACCTTGGCCTCCCAATGGGCTGGGATTATTGGCGTGAGCCACCGCGCCCGGCCGGCTTATTCTTAATGAAAAAAATCTCTATAATTCTTAAGTCGATGCCATTATTTGGAAGTGTTTTAATTGCACTTATACTTGGCAGCTGAATTATTTTTAGGTGAAGTTTTAACACATGCTAAATATAACAAAAATTCAGTCTTTTGCAGGCATTAGTATGATAGCTCAAGCATTCAGATCATGATGATAAGCTTTAGCGGTTTCCATCCACCATACCTTGGCCACTTCTTCTTGGAAAGCCACGAGATTCAAATGGGAGATGTTCACAAGGTCAGGCCCATACACCACCGTGATCATGCGCTGCTCCAGGCGCCCGATGTTCCCCACATCCAAAAGTTCACGTAATTTGGGGTCCTGGACAATAAATGTTGAAAATAATTAGTCTATAACTAGAGATTCCAACGTGACAGCATAACTTCAACTTCTGTTGAGTTAGAATGATTTCAAAACAAAGTTGCTTTTATTCTTACTAGAGAATTGTAGGAGTTTAAGGCTCCCATCCCACAAACGACCTAGAAAGATGAAGCAACTTGCCCAGAGTAGTGGAGAGACAATTTCTGGCTCAAGACTATAGCCTTTAGTTAAGTGCTCTTTCTGCGATCTTATCACACATTTTTATGTGCCATGGTTCTCTATTTCCTCCAATCATCCCAGAAATTGTGTATTGAAATGAAAAATCTCTATTCTTTTCCTCAATTCCTGAATGCACTAAGACAAAGAAGGTGGTTATTCTGAAATTAAAATATGACAATGCCTACGTAGGGCTAGGGAAGAAACACAGCCCTGGCTCTCTGTGTGGACTTGCTCCAACACTGAATACTGATGCAAAAAGACCCAGAATTAGTGTGAGCAAAACCGTGGTGCCTGCCATGCATATGTTGATTTCACTTCTGTCCTTGGAATGTACTGGGATTTGGACATATGGAACTTCTGCAGTCTTTTCAGAGCAAGTTGCATTCTTTGGGTCATGATAAATGGAAATCCTTTGGAGATATATTCCTGCTGGGAAAGGGAGTTTTCCAAAAATTCAAAGCTCAAAGTTTTCCAAAATTTCAAACGTAAAATAGGGCTTAGTCAGCTTGACTGAACTGATTTCCTCCCATAGGACAGGCCCTGAAGGAAATGAGAAGTCCATGCAGAAAATAAGCATCAAATCAATCACTTAGCAAATTTGCTGGCCAGCTTCTGAGACAGAAATACACTTACATTCTTATTTATTTAGCTAAATACTGGGCCAAGCGGTACTGATTACTTAGACTGGCTATTCTGACCTCTTTTTGGAGGTTTTGATATACATCATCCTTATGAAGAAATAGTAAATGTTTAAAAAACAAAAAAACAAAAACCACACACAACCAAGAAAGAAAACAAACAAAACCTTTTCAGCTGAGTTACTTTACTTGGTGCCATTAATTCTCTCTTTAGTTAATAAAACGTTCTCTGTTTGGTCGCATGAAGAGTCACATTTTCAGGAAAGTTATGAAGAAAGAAAACCCCATTTCAAAGCTCTGCCTAACATAACTGAAATCTCACTTTCACGAACAAGTTGAAAGCTTATCAAGTACATCAAGCCTCCTAGAAAGATCAAATGCTACCACAAAAACATCAATTTGCATGACCCAGAAAAGGAGAGGTTTTATCAAAAGTTTTATTAAATAAACAATAATAGAAAAAAGGGAAACATTTAGCACTCTACCATTAATGAGAGATTAAAGGAGAATGTTCGGGAAGAATGACTGTTTTGTGAAGGCAATTAAACTTGATAACAAGGTATTTTATGAACTGATTAATTGCATCAAAGTTTTTGAACACCATTGAGACAAAGTTCAAAGAGAAAACATATCAGTAATTGTCATTTTGTGGGGTTCTTTTTGGTATACTCAGAAGAGAAAAAGCATTCTTAGAAATCACCTGAAACTTGTAATTATAAATCACAAGTTTTAAATCAGTGATTATGGAGTCCATCAATATATTTACCTCCACAATCTTTAGTGGGAAAATATTTGGAAATGAATTGGTTCTATACATTGGACCCTTTCTTTCCTTCCAGTGATAGCCACACAACTCATTCTTTGGCTTTTTTCTCCCCCAAGCATTTTTTGTTCAGTCTACACTATTTTACTACATAATTCTCATGTCCATTTTTGTTGTTGTTGTTGTTGTTGTTGTTGTTGTTGTTGCTCATTTTGACATTTTTGCTCAAAATTTGATAAACAGATGATTGGTTAAAATCGCCACCTCTCAGAATTGCAGACACTAGGTGTGGGGGTCAGGGATTCTCTTGAATCATCCTTAAGATAAAGGAACTCAAGGCAAGGAAGGATCACCCAGAGTAGGTGCTCAGAGTAGAAAACAATTTTGGAAAAGAGCTTCTGGGATTCCCACTAAGAATTTATAAGAAACATGACCAACTGTTTCTGAAATATTTGTTTGAAAAGTTTTCCCAGTAATTGTTGCTTATATATCTTTTCTTTTTTTCTTTTTTCTTTTTTTTTTTTTTGAGATGAGGTCTTGCTCTGTTGCTCAGGCTGCTGTGCAGTGGTGTGATCTCACTGCAACCTCCGCCTCCCAAGTTCAAGCGATTCTCCTGCCTCAGCCTCCCAAGTAGCTGGGACTATAGGGGTGTGCCACTATGCCTGGCTAATTTTTGTATTTTTAGTAGAGATGGGGTTTCTCCATGTTGGCCAGGCTGGTCTCAAACTCCTGACCTCAGCTAATGCACCGACCTCAGCCTCCCAAAGTGCTGGGATTACAGGTGTTTTATATCTTTTAAAAGACTATTAGTCTTTATATAAAAAGAAATTTATAATGAAGTATTTAGAAGTGATGTCTGGAATTAGGTGGATGAAGCAGGCTGGTAAAATGATGCTGCTGATTGAATCTGAGGGGTAAGTATTTGAGGACTCACTGCATGGTTCTGCATCTGGATGGTTAACATTTGGGAAAAAAATTTAAAAAGGTTACTGTGTATGAACCAAAGGAACATTTGAAGATTTGAGAAACATTTACTCAGAAGAAACCACAATATTTTTAAACCATATAGTTCTGAATGTAAACAGAGAACTGAAAATATATAACAAGCCAAGTTTCTTACTAACGTCCTTTTTCAGTGATGGAACACATTGATTTAAACTATGCTTTACTTTCTTTTCCCCCAGTGGTCATTTTATTTTTAAAACTGTATCTTTTCTTCATTTATTTCATTTTTATCAACACTAACCTTGATTATGTTAGAATTCTCCTTTAAGAAACAAGTTCACTTTTATTTGACCTGTACTCAATAACTTATCTATTTTTGAATGCAACTCTTTGTTGAGCATATTGATATGCAAGGGGTAGACTGAGAAAGACACTTGTACCTTCAAGTTGTCCTCATTTGTTTTCAGACTTTCAGAGAATACACAAAGAGGGGACTGTCTGGAAGGACAAACTTCAAATGCACAAAGTTTTTAGAGGGCTTTATAGGTAGAAGGAATTTGATGAAAACAGATGTGTAAAAAGTGGTTGTTTCTAGAGTATGACATACTCAGTTCTTGGGAAATAGGTGGCTATGTTTCAAAAACAAACAAATAAAATCAAAATAGCCACAATAACAAAAACTGATAGACAACTTACATGTAAACCATCTTATCTCCCAAACCTATTTTACCAAGGAGTTTTATGTCTGAGTATTTCTCATAGACTCAACTTCCTAAGAAGTTTCCAGAGAAGGATTTACCTATTTGAGTTACTACCAGACTCCAACATATTTTTCCATCCTTGCAACTGATATAACTTCATTAAACATTTTACAAAGAAAACATACCCATAACTCTGTAAAACTGTTCAATTTCTTTGTTGGAGGAAACTAAAGAACACAGTTCAGAGAAAAGTAAGAGGTGAGGTGAACATGGAATTTCATATTTTTGCTAAGCTGTCACTCAAGGCCTCCTTTCTTCAGAGAATATCCTAGATGTATCTTCACGGCTGGAATTAACCAGATCAACTCAGAATCCTGGCAGCTATAATTGAATTCCACTTTTAAAGTTAAATCTAGATCATTTCTGTTCCCATAAGTGCTACCAAATAGAGACTGTCTGACTAAGTAAATTCATTTTCTCTCAATCATCAGGATTTGTGATTAAATTACTTCATGTCTGTTGCAAAGAAAGTTGAGTTTTGCTCTTGTTAAATAAAGCTCATGTTAATGATTCTCATTTTCAGGTAATTGGCCACTGAAGAAAGTAAAGACTGTTCTACACCTAAGAAGCAAGGACTCAATTACAGCACGTGTTACTGTATTATACCATTTAAAATATTCAAAATAAATGGAAGGAATAAACACAGGCTAAAGGATAATTTTTTAAAAAAGAATTAAATGCTGGTTTGAATTCTTACTTTTTAATATCACTTTTTAAAAAGGTTATTTTATTTATATGCCAAGTATCTACAAAATAAAACATCTCTTCAAGACCTTTAGATTTTATTTTTGATACCAGAAACATTTTTGGTGTAGAAGATATACCTTACTCATTTTTTTCATACTCATGAAATGTATCTTTATTGGATTTTAGGCTTATCCATTGATTTGTATAAGTTAATTTGATTCCCAGCACTTAATGCAATATTCTCAATCTGAATTACAGTTATATGGGTGGAACTCGAATCCATTCCTATCAATCATCAAGCACATAAGAGTCTTTCCAATAGCAATCAGTACCTAACAGTTGGAAATGAAAGAGATGGATTCCTTACACATAACTGAGATTCATATGATTCAGCTTCACAGTGATAAAGCTACCTTTTCTTTGAAGGCAGAGCCAAATTGCTATGCTTTATTCAAATTTCATTGTACAGGAAATATATAAATTTATGTCCAGGCTGGTTTCCCATCAAACCCTTGAATTCAACATTTGCATCTCAGAAAATAAAACACAGATTAACAAATTCCCTTTGAATCAATGCTTATCCTCACACCTCTCATTTTCAAGGTTTCTTTATTTTATATCTGAATGTGATGAAGGATGTCACTCTGTTCACCAGGGTGTACCAGTGGCTTAGGTGGCTCACACAGCCAGCAAGCCTTTATAGAGGAAACACTTATCAATTCTCATTGATGATGACTCTGAAATATGGTGCTGTGAATATTCTTCTAAATACAGCAAAAGACTTGGAGGATGTTACTTGTTTAAGTATTTTTTTCCTGCAAGTAACAGATGGAAAATCTTTAAATATTTTTTAGTTATTTCTTTAACTAGAGGGAGTAGAAGGAGAACAGACTGACTATGTCAAAGAAAAGCAACTATGGATACATACTAGAAAAAAAAGTTGGTGGAGTACTGCCCTTTCCTATCCTGCAATGGTATTACCATAAGAAAAGTGTTTATATTTGCTTTGGGATGGAATAATGGTGAATTTGTAAAGTCACTGTATAAGTATAGAAATCTGTTGATGAAGAAGAGAAAATATAGTTAGCTTAGCCATGCATCTTCATCCAAAATAAAGTGGTTTGAAGCTGTCAGGCTTGAATTGATTGAGCTAAAGTGAACACACTATTTAAGTCTAAAACAAAAAAAAAATTAGAAGAAACAGCAAGGTGATCATCCAGAATAATATTCTCCTGGTTCACAAACAGAGAGGCTAAAAGTTCCCTGGAGTTCCCATAGAGCTAAAAGTTTGGTTGTGCTTGGAAGTGGTCACAGAGAAGAGATGAATAAAGTTAAAGGAGCATCCCTAAATAGGATCCTAGGTTTTTCCTCATCCCCAGGAACAAGTTCAGGGTCTGGTTTAATGCAGTTTTGAGAGTTAGGAAGGAAGGAAAGATAAGCAGCTGCTGGAGGGCATTCAGGCAGGCTGACCATAGAAGCAGCAGAAAAAAGGATTGAAATAAAGTATCCACAGTCCTTGGACCAAGAAAATTAGGCTCAGAATGTGGAGAGACAACTTCAGAGCTGGGAAAATGCTGCTATTACCTATTTTCAAAATTTGCATTGCCTGAGCTATTAGGTTGGTGCAAAAAGTAATGGCAAAACCCCAGTTACTTTTGCACCAACCTAATAGTTTCCCAGGTTGCAATACACATGCTTGGCAGACAGGAACTTTGTCTGGATGCCCCAGAAGCCAACCCAAGTCAAAGATCTGGGGACAAGTGATTTATTTTGGAGATGACTGCAGACAGCACAGTGAGGAGTGGGGAAGTAAGACAAGAAGGGAAGAAGATCTTTAAAGACTGTGTTAATTAGCGGTTTACTATTTTGGGCAAATGAGGCTCAAAACACTAGGGCCATTTGGAGACAGTATGAAGAACACATCTTAGGATGTTCCTAAGTAGCCTGTAAACTGTAGTATTTATCTGTTCAGTCTCATCCATCATTGGTGGACAGTCATTCCTGGGGTGATAACTCCCTTGCTTTTCCATAGCCGGAAAACATTCTCAGGACTATATGGGAACTTTCGTTAGGCAACCTCTGTGCATGAACCAATAGAATATCAATGGATTCTCTGGGAACAGGGCATAGCTAAACAAAAAGCAGCAGAAACCTTGGCTGAGGTAAATGCCCCTGTCTGACAGCTTTGAAGAGAGCAGTGGATCTCCCAGCACGGAGGTTGAGATCTGAGAATGGACAGACTGCCTGGTCAAGTGGGTCCCTGGCCCCTGAGTAGTCTAACTGGGAGACATCACCCACTAGGTACAGACTGACACCTCACACCTCACACGGCTGGGTACACCCCTGAGACAAAGCTTCCAGAGCAAGAATCAGACAGCAACACTTGCTGTTCAACAATATTCTATCTTCTGCAGCATCCGCTGCTGATACCCAGGCAAACAGGGTCTGGAGTGGACCTCAAGCAAACTCCAACAGACCTACAGCTGAGGGTCCTGACTGTTAGAAGGAAAACTAACAAACAGAAAGGACACCCACACCAAAACCCCATCAGTATGTCACCATCATCAAAGACCAAAGGCAGATAAAACCACAAAGATGGGGAAAAAGCAGGGCAGAAAATCTGGAAATTCAAAAAATCAAAGCACATCTCCCCCTCCAAAGGAACGCAGCTCATCGCCAGCAACGGAACAAAGCTGGATGGAGAATGACTTTGACGAGTTGAGAGAACAAGGTTTCAGTTGATCAAACTTCTCAGAGCTAAAGGAGGAGCTATGTAACCAGTGCAAAGAAATTAAAAACTTTGAAAAAAGAATGGATGAATGGATAACTAGAATAATCAATGCAGAGAAGACATTAAAAGAACTGATAGAGATGAAAACCATAACACAAGAACTACGTGACAAATGCACAAGCTTCAGTAACCAACTCGATCAACTGGAAGAAAGAGTATCAGTGATTGAGGATCAAATGAATGAAATGAAGCGAGAAGTGAAGTGTAGAGGAAAAAGAGTAAAAAGAAATGAACAAAGCCTCCAAGAAATATGGGATTATGTGAAAAGACCAAATCTATGTCTGATTGGTGTGCCTGAAAGTGACAGGGAAAATGGAACCAAGTTGGAAAACACTCTTCAGGATGTCATCCAGGAGAACTTCCCCAACCTAGCAAGAGAGGCCAACATTCAAATTCAGGAAATACAGAGAATACCACAAAGATACTCCTCGAGAAGAGCAACTCCAAGACATATAATTGTCAGATTCACCAAAGTTGAAATGAAGGAAAAAATGTTAACGGCAGCCAGAGAGAAAGATCGGGTTACACACAAAGGGAACCCCATCAGACTAACAGCAGATCTCTCAGCAGAAACTCTCCAAGCCAGAAGAGAGTGGGGGCCAATATTCAACATTCTTAAAGAAAAGAATTTTCAACCCAGAATTTCATATCCAGCCAAACTAAGTTTCATAAGTGAAGGAGAAATAAAATCCTTTACAGACAAGCAAATGCTGAGAGATTTTGTCATCAGCAGGCCTGCCCTACAAGAGATCCTGAAGGAAGCACTAAACATGGAAAGGAACAACAGGTACCAGCCGTTGCAAAAACATGTCAAAATGTAAAGTCCATCGATGCTAGGAAGAAACTGCATCAACTAGCAAGCAAAATAACCAGCTAACATCATAATGACAGGATCAAGTTCACACATAACAATATTAACCTTAAATGTATATGGACTAATTGGTCCAATTAAAAGACACAGACTGGCAAATTGAATAAAGAGTCAAGACCCATCAGTTTGCTGTATTCAGGAAACCCATCTCATATGCAGAGACACACATAGGCTCAAAATAAAGGGATGGAGGAATATCTATCAAGCAAATGGAAAACAAAAAAAAGCAGGGGTTGCAATCCTAGTCTCTGATAAAACAGACTCTAAACCATCAAAGATCAAAAGAGACAAATAAGGCCATTACATAATGGTAAAGGGATCAATTCAGCAGGAAGAGCTAACTATCCTCAATATATATGAACCCAATACAGGAGCACCCAGATTCATAAAGCAAGTCCTTAGAGACTTACAAAGAGACTTAGACTCCCATACAATAATAATGGGAGACTTTACCACCCCACTGTCAACATCAGACAGATCAACGAGACAGAAAGTTAACAAGGATATCCAGGAATTGAACTCAACTCGGCACCAAGAGGACCTAATAGACATCTACAGAACTCTCCACCCCACATCAACAGAATATACATTCTTCTCAGCACCACATCACACTTATTCCAAAATTGACCACATAGTTGGAAGTAAAGCACTCCTCAGCAAATGTAAAAGAACAGAAATTATAACAAACTGTCTCTCAGACCACAGTGCTATCAAACTAGAATTCAGGACTAAGAAACTCAATCAAAACCGCTCAACTACATGGAAACTGAACAACCTGCTCCTGAATGACTACTGGGTACATAATGAAATGAACGTAGAAATAAGGATGTTCTTTGAAACCAATGAGAACAAAGATACAACATACCAGAATCTCTGGGACACATTTAAAGCAGTGTGAAGAGGGAAATTTAGAGCACTAAATGTTCACATAAGAAAGCAGGAAAGATCTAAAATTGACACCTTAATATCACAATTAAAAGAACTAGAGAAGCAAGAGTAAACACATTCAAAAGCTAGCAGAAGGCAAGAAATAACTAAGATCAGAGCAGAACTGAAGGAGATAGAGACACAAAAAACCCTCCAAAAAATCAGTGAATCCAGGAGTTGGTTTTTTGAACAGATCAACAAAATTGACAGACCGCTAGCAAGACTAATAAAGAAGAAAAGAGAGAAGAATCAAATAGACACAATAAAAAATGATAAAGGGGATATCACCACTGACCCCACAGAAATACAAACTACCATCAGAGTTATAATACTATAATACTATAAATAATATATACAGAGTTATAA